TGAGGGCAGCATTTTTCATTCATCTGTATTTTCATCCATCATTCATTGCAATCCATCGTTATCTCAACAGTGTGCAAGATAACGAGGAAAAAAAGGAATAGTTTACCTGAAAATAAAAATTCTGTCATCAAATATTCACCTTCATGTTGTTCCAAAACAATATGACTTTTTTTCTGTGAAATGCAAAAGCTAACACTCAGCACAGTTTGTGTGTGTGTATGTGTGTTTTAGTGGATCTTCATGTGTGAGAGCGCTGGACATGTTTGTGTATGCAGAAGCTTGTGTGAATAGGTGACCCTGAACTAACACCAGCAGCCACCCGCTTCCCTACTAGTCACCTAATGAGAGCGCCCTTCGCTCAGCCCTTCGCTCAGCCCAGCATCCATCACTCATGTGCGCCCATCCCTGCTCCTCAAATGAGCCTCTGAAAGCTGTTTGTTTTGATACTTGTAGAATCTCTGCTCCTGACAAAAGGACACAAGAATTCTGACATGAAACATTGAGGCTAAAATAACAAACAAAGCGCCAAGATAAACAGAAAGAATGAGGGCAGCATGTTTCATGCATCTGTCTTTTCATCCCTCATTCATTGCAATCCATCGTTATCTCAACAGTGTGCAAGATAACGAGGAAAAAAAGGAATAGTTTACCTGATATTCAAATATTCACCTTCATGTTGTTCCAAAACAATATGACTTTTTTTCTGTGAAATGCAAAAGCTGCATTTTTATAAGACTTTTCTGAGAAATACTGGTGAGGGTGAATAAATACTTCATTTTTTGGTAAACTATCCCTTTAAGTGCATAAACAGTCGGCTAGAGAATGCAAAAGTTATCTCATTCCAAACTCCGATATACCTTGCCGTATCCAATGCACTCTTCCTCTGACAGGTAAATTCTGCACTGTCCTGTAGCGTGCAGATGTCTGAATTTCAGCCAGGTTTGGTGTGTTTGAGGCTAGTGATAAGTGTGCGATAGGGGCCAGACTGCAGTCTGCTTCGGATGCAGAGGTCTGAAAATGAGAGCGACACTTTTCAGACAGGATGCAGTTGTCACTTGAGCAAACAACAGTGGACGGCACGATAAACATGTTCATGCTGCCATGTCCCCTGCGTCCAGACAGGACCTTTTTGCCTTGTTAGTTCATGCGATAGGGGCCAGACTGCAGTCTGCTTCGGATGCAGAGGTCTGAAAATGAGAGCGACACTTTTCAGACAGGATGCAGTTGTCACTTGAGCAAACAACAGTGGACGGCACGATAAACATGTTCATGCTGCCATGTCCCCTGCGTCCAGACAGGACCTTTTTGCCTTGTTAGTTCAGCACTGCATTCCAGTTTAATCTGTAAAGTGCTTGGGAGGAAAATATATGGAACAGAGATTATGTGTCGATAAAACAACCAGAATGTGGTTCTATTTTATTTTATTGCATTGCATTGCATTGCTGTTGGCATTTACCCATGCAAGGAAAGCAAATTGCAATCAGCATTCATTTTGTGTGCATGTTTGCACCATTGGCCTACCTCATTTTTCAATTAGTTTATTCAGTAAGGTGCTAAAACATGGTTTTTGGTCCTTTTTATTATTTTATTATTTTATTTTTTTATTATTTTTATTATTTTATTATTTTATTTAAGTCCTACTTCTTTTAATTTAAGCTGTAGTGTCTATGCTGGATTGTAATGCACTAGAAAAGAGTCCTGTGTGGTCCTTTTTATTATTTTATTATTTTATTTTTTTATTATTTTTATTATTTTATTATTTTATTTAAGTCCTACTTCTTTTATTGTAAGCTGTATTTATGGCTAAACTAAACCACAATGTCTATGCTGGATTGTAATGCACTAGAAAAGAGTCCTGTGGGTGTCACTGTACAGTTCTGCTCCTCTACAGAAGTTGGAAGTATCTAGTCCTCTGCATATGCATATTATGAATGCTTATAAGATAGGAGAACAAAGAATTTAATTTAATTTTGAAGAATCATATGGTAATGTAATTTGAATGGCAGACTATAGATTATACTGTTCTTGTTTAAAAATATGCATTTGCGCAGTTTCGTTTATATCTGCTAGTGTCTTTTTTATGTTTTTATGTGCTAATGTGTGTGTGTTTTTTTTTTTTAGGTAGAGACTATGAGTGTCTGTGGCTTTAAATGACCTCATAGATTCCTGGTACTTGACAAAATACAAATACGTCAAGGTTATTAATTTGTGGCCTGGAATTCCAGTAGTGTAAGATGCCATGTACAGTCACCCCTCCTATAAACTACTGTACTGCATTGTACAAATTCCTTTGACGAACATGATGATGGCGATCGTATTGAAAAAGGCCCTCAAACAATTGTGGCACAGACGCAAACAATTGTGGATGGCAGACGACAGGATGTTAGCGCAGACACTGCCAACATGCTTCCTCAAACAACACATGCATGCAGACACACAGACACTGACTGACAAAAATGAGATGAAGAACTGGGCAGTCAGAAAATTATTTTATTATTTAAATTAAATTTTTAAATTAACCACCTGTCTAATAAAAGGTTCTAATAAAACTGTTTATTATTTTTATTAAGTTTATTTTATTTTATTCAATTTAATTTTTAAACTGTTGGCATTTTACTCTTAAATTTGATTATTTAATTTAAATATTTATCAAATGAAAATATTTAACTAAACAATCATTTTAGACAATATTTTTATTTGATTTATTTTGGTGCTGTTGGCATTTTACTCTTAAATAAGATTAAATGATTTAGCTGAAATATAAATTTGATTTAATTAATTAACTAATTTAGAATTTGAACCTATCTAGCTGATAAAAGATTATAATAAACCTGTATTTTTATTGTACTTTGTTTTATATCATTTTATTTATTATTATTTTCTATTTATTTATTTATTACTATTGGCGTTTTACCGTTTAATTAAATAATTGAATTTGAATATTAATTAAGTTTAATATTTAACTAAATTTTAATATAAAACCAACTGGATGATAAAAGATTCTAAACAATTTTTTAAACATACACCCTTTGTGCACTTAAATTATTTCTTGTAAATGAATAGTCAATTTATTAATTTAATTTTAATTTTCAAATTGTTACCCTTTTTGGCATTTTACCCTTAAATTAGATTAAATTATTTTATATTATTTATTATTAAATTGAAAATAATATAAATGATTACATAAATTATTTTATTTTATTATTAAATATTGAACAAAATGATTATTTTAAACCACCTGACTGATAAAACTTTATAGTAAATAAACATCTGAATGGCTGCAGGTGTGTTATACATACCACAAAGAAAATCCCTCACACTGCCGTAGCTTGCTAGAAATCTAATATATATTGGCACAGGAATAAATATTTGGTCATGCAGCCTTCTTGAGGTATTTCACATTGTTAGTCGCGTGACCGAAACTTTTTTTTTCCCATATTGGATTTCTTGCAAGTTGCAGCAGGGTGCTCACAATTTCTACAACTATATTTTCTTTAAAGGGGTCATATGATGCTTTTTTAAAATATGTGGGGGTGTGTTAGAACAAGCCGTTTTAGGGGGGCGTGGCAGAGTCTTAACTTTGATAAAGAATATCTCTTTGGTTTTAAGACTTTAGTCTTTGCAACTTCAGGGATCTTATCTATGCACAATCAGCTTGTAAAACTCTAAAGAGAAAGGAAAACTTGAAATCGCATCATATGACCCCTTTAAACCTTGTTTGTCTTATCCAAAGCTTGAATGCACAGTGTGGTCAAGGTCTGTGGAGCAAATCATTGCTGTGTGATGACCTCCGTGGCTCCAGCCACCCAGATTTCCATGGCAGAGCATGGGCACAGGCCACGGAGGTCTGCTTTGTATCCGGACGCAGGGAATTCCCACTGCTGACTGTTTGTATGGAGAGACAACGACACCCACAGCTACAGCAACCACAAAAACACTCTAGGCGTCCTCTTCTTAGGCCTGATATCAGAGAGACAGACACTGTAAGGACAGATGGAATAGGTTGAAAACAACCACATCAAATCTGTGCATGTAATGTAAAGATAATGTTTCTTTTCAACATTATTAAGAGCAGATGTGCCATTCTTGCAATACTTACAATAGTAAGTATTTGAATAGTGAATCACTGTGTTTGTATTTGCTGCAAGCTTTACTGCAACAATTACTGTTGACATTCATTGTATTATTTGGTACTGTTGACCTTGAATAATAACTACTTAACAAAATGTTAATTACAAAGCAAATATCCTACCATAAATGTTTGGGTTTTTTATTCAGCAAGGCCGCATTACATGGATCAAAAGTGGCAGTAAAGACAAAAAGATTTCTATTTCAAATAAAGGCTGTTCTTTTGTGCTTTCTATTTATCAAAGAATCACATAATAAATAATAAGAATAGATATAATTTTTTTTAAATTAGAAGAAATATTTCTTAAGCATCAAATCAGAATATTAGAATGATTTCTGAAGGATCATGTGACACTGAAGACTGGAGTAATGATGCTGAAAATCCAGCTTTGCATCACAGGAATAAATTACATTTTAAATTATATTCAGTTAGAAAACAGTCATTTTAAATTGTAAAAATATTTCACAATTTTCCTGTTTTTGGTCAAATAAATGCAGCCTTTAGTGAGCATAAGAAACTTCTTTCAAAAACATACCAACCCCAAACTTTTGAACAGTAGTGTGATTTATAGACAGCTAAATTCCTTCGTTTTTCGAAAGCAGTTGGTTAGCTGATCATTTGAACTCATGAGGTTTTACATTGTGCTGTAATTAATGTCTTTGATGCAATAACAGTTGGGAACGTGAGTTATTTCTCCCTGAAAATGAATGTGACATAACTTACAGACAGGTATTTTGTATGTTTTCCATCCTCTTGGCCCCTGCTTTGACCTGTTTCATGCCGCGAGGTGCATATCTAACGGAGTGACGGATTCAGGGCAGTGGCATCAGTATCTGTATGAAAACATCCCGGTGTGAGTCCAGACAGCCTGCTTTCCTTCACCGCACACTATCAGACACACTTCACAGACTCATTTGTTGTTAACTTTAGCTACAGTCTAACTAAAGAAAAATAGTCAAATGGAATTGAAATGTCAAATTTGCATTGTCTTTATTTCTGTATTTCACAGGTTATTCTAATGATTTAGTCAAATTTAAACATACAAATTAACTTATGATTCATTTTGCCTCTTCTTTTTACTATTTTGTGACCCATATCTTTTATAGTCTTGCAAAAAGTCTCAGTTTGATTTTTGTGTCACGTTGTCAGGCAGTCACACTGACATTTGAAAACTATATTTAAGCACATCTTTTTTTTTTAGGATTGATGTTATGTCACTCTCCCCGTCATCATTTGGGCAAAAGCCATTGTTGCATTTTAAATATTATGGAACAAGCTGCTGTGTTTGTCTTACGATCACATATAACTTTATTTTAGAGCCTGAGGTCGTTCAAGGAGCTGATGATTGCCATAGTAATGAGTGATGTCATGTGTTCTTAACGTTTCATTACATCTGTTTTCCAGTCAAGTGTTTAGTCTCCCAACCAAATTACCATGGTTTTGTAAGTAACACTATTTCTGTAAGAAAAATGGATTCATGGTATGTTGTGTTTAACAGTGATATAAAGACATGAAAAGATAAGGAAATGATAAAATATGCATTTTCCCAATGGATGCATGTCATTCAAAACAAATCAAATAAATGTCCTAATTATGATTTCCGAACTCCTCAGTGCATGGAACTACTCAAAGCCGAAATGAGATATTAGTAAATAAACTTTAAACATTTAAGAAATGTTCTGTTTAATAATTTAACATCCACTACTGAAGTCAGGGATCTAGTGAAAACATACTTGATTTTTATAGAGAAAACTGGTGATCTCAATGGGTGGAGGTCTATCAGAATGAAATTCAGGCAGTTTTCATTTCATTTAAAGGTACAATAGGAGATCTTGGAAAATGCTAACTTTAGCCTGATAGCACTGAAAGCGAACGTCCCACCCTTCCTGCAATCGCCGTCCAAAGCCACGCCCCCTGAACGTATTTACACTCACAGACCAGAGACAACATTACTACAATAGGCTACATCAGGTTCCCAATTCCAGCCCATGTTCCGAAGTGAAGTAAACTTCAACGGATTTCCCCTGCTCAGGGAGTAGGGAGCAATGAACTCTGTGTAGGGATCATATCGATCGGAACACAGTTCATGCACGTAGCTCACTTCTGACGAGCTGGCGCGAGGACTGGATTAACCGCTGGGCTACATCATGTGTCATTCACTGGTGAGAAATCTTTGAAAGTACTACAATACCAGGAAGGAAGATCGGCTTGTTGATGTTTGCCTGCCATCCTCGCTCTGTCTGCACAGCGTGCGTGAACGCGCTGATGAGTATCCTGTCTGCGCGAACTGGGTGCGCAGAGGTATGCTAATACATACGTTGAGAGGCAGGTAGGAAAGCATATTAAAACGCTCGGACCGAACGTTTTGATTAGACGAACATTTCTTGATCCTACACCTTCCACAGAATATATAAATACAGACAAATACATTTAGACCACTTAACTTAATGCTTGCTATCAGGATGTGAAGAGACTTTCAACCAGCATAACAAAAAATGTTTCTGAAGACAATCACCTATTGCACCTTTAATTTCATTTCATTGCATTGCATTGCATTGTTATACTGTTGGCATTTTACCCTTAAATTAGATTCAATTATTTATTTTAAATATTAATTAAATTCATTTAACTAAATTAGTATTATTTTTTTAAGAAACTTGTTGATTTCATTGGATGGAGTTCTATCTGAATGACATTGAGGCAGTTCACACATTAACTACTGATTGTATTTCTCAATAGCACTTGCAGGGTTTCATATATAAGCAGCTTCAAATGTTTCGTATTTTCACAAGGGCACTCAAAATAGCTTGAAAATCCTCTAAATTACCCCAATAAAAGCTGGTGTTTAGTGTTTTGACATAAATCAGGTTGGGTGCTTGAGAAGCCGAAGGGGAAGAGATCAAGTCTTAACAGCGTTTCCCATTGAATCTCTTCTGAAATACTGTGGAAAGATGAACTGATTGATGACCAGTACATTTCTGACTAAATCATTTCCGGTAACATTATGCATTTATTTGTGTTTTCATTCTGTCATTTCTGCCAGAACATTCTGTGGTGTGATGCTGATGTTTTGGTGTCATAAGATAATAGCGGTAAGATAATAGCTCTGTTCTTTCTGTCTGTCCTCTTATGTTGGAAAGTTGAGCACAATGGAAGCGAAGCCAGAGCAACGGCTGTCTATATTGTGTCTGAAATGACATGTTGATGGGTTACGCTAACACTGAAACCCCATTCACAAAAACTGGCACCTCAGGATCTGAGATTGGCTCAGTGGTATGAATTTAAACCCACAGGTTCAAAAGTTTGGGTCATGTTTTTGAAAGTCTCTTATGCTCACCAAGGCTGCATTTTGTTTTTTTTTTAACTAAAAATACAGTTAA